GTGGGACAGAAAAAAAATTAGAAATTCCTAGGATTTTCACTTCTTACTTATACTGGAAAGTTAGAAACCTGAAAGTTCTGCTACAAGTCACTTCCACTCACAATCAAATCTAACTTGTGTTCTAGCCTTTTGTGTGTTTATTTATATGAATGTGTTAAATTCTCATCTCTATGGAAATCTGATTACCCTGAACATCACTTCCACTAATTGTTTGATTTTTAAAAATCACAATCTTTTGTCTTACAGGTTTTGGATTGGACACCCAAAAATAAGTGAGATAATTTTCTAATTATGAATATCTGAAAACTGAGAAGCCCATGAGGGCTAAAAGCTATAAGGGCTGGAAAGCTCAATAGACAGAGAAAATACAGGTGATGAAAAGTCAGGTGTTTTCCTTATCTTAGAAAAGAGGAGATTAAAGGGGGTTATGATAGAGATCTAGAAAATCATGACTGGTGTGGAAAAAGTGAATAAGGAAAAGTTACTTACTTGTTCCCATACCACAAGAACTAGGGGTCACCAAATGAAATGAATAGGTAGCAGGTTTAAAACAAACAAAAGGAAGTTTTTCTTCACACTGCGCATGGTCAGCCTATGCAACTCCTTGCCAGAGGAGGTTGTGAAAACCAGGACTTTAACAGGGTTCAAGAAAGAGCTAGATAAATTCATGGAAGTTAGGTCCATTAATGGCTGTTAGCCAGGGTGTGTAGGAATGATGTCCCTAGCCTCTGTCAGAGGCTGGGAATGGGTGACTGGAGAGGGATTGCTTGAAGATTCCCTGTTCTGTTCACTCCCTCTGGGGCATCTGCATTGCCTACTGTCAGCAGACAGAACACTGGGCTAGATGGACCTTTGGTCTGACCCAGTATGGCCGTTCTTATGTTTTTAGGTAAGTGCTAAGGCTGATGGCAATGAATACAATTATGATGGAATGAACATAAAGGCTTTTCAATGAAAGGAAAATCTCTCCAATTTCCTTTAATGTGAATTTGCCATTGAACTCAGAAGTAGGACAGGGTGCTCGTCACAGACTTCCTTTCCCTTCTTCTACAACCTTTAGAACAAAAGTAACTCATCCTAGAATCTTCATACTCACCTTACTATTCATAGTAGGTTTCCAAAGAGCTAATGTGCTGCAATGTAGGTTGAGTGAAGGATATCTGTGTCTCAGCAGTCTCCCAGTCAACCCAACGTGAACATACTCTCTGCTGTCTTTGGGGCTTTTGGAAGAAGAGAACATAAGGACAGAGTGCTTTCACCTCACCTTACCTTACCTTGGAGTCCTGTTTCATAAGGTATTATTCATTTCTAAACTGACCTTGCTTTTCACTTCATCTCACTGTTGCTCCATCAATTTCAACCACATTTGAAGGTCCATTCTCTATTAGTTTTGCCTAGTCAATAAAGTTCACGTAGCTATGACTCATCAGCACATAAATGAATCAACTGATCTGATTTACTAAGAAGACTATATTTATTATGAGACATTTTTCAAGTATAATTCAGCTTGCCCTTGATGGTAATAAATGAGATATCAGCTCCCCTGAGACAAGAGAACCCGCCCCTGTATTTTCCAGGCATGGCCCTAGCCAGATTCCATTTTAGAGACGGGAAACAGCCATATCTTTGATTAAAAAGGAACCTTTAATCAAATAAAGTGCCTCATCAAGCAAGAGCCAAGATTCCAATACTCTTGACTGCAGCACACAAATAATCCAAAATCAAATCTCCACCACACACACAACCCATTACCACTTGGTGTAAACGTGACATCCATCACAAGTAGGGAGAATGTCCTTCAGCATTTTTACTCTTGTCCTTAGATTCATTTGTCTTCTCTCCCTCCCCCATACCAGATATGCTTTTTATACATTTTTTTAAATCCTTCTCCTCAGGCTGATCCTCTGGGGTATTTCTGTGGAAGCTCCAGTCTACATTCTTTGTCCAAAAAGAAATGTTTCCAAGGAGAGTAACTGATACAGACTGTGCATGAGCCAGGAGTAACTGCAGTGGCCTTTGGGTAACTTAGTAGTGACTAGTTTTCCTTCTTGCTGCTGTCATTTCACTTTGTGACAATAGTCATTTTGATTAATGTTACATCATCCTTGGGATCTTTGACCCTAACCATAATTTTAGTGAATAAAATTAAATACATAATAGTTCATTAACAACAACAGCCCTGAGGATATCATTTTACATTTCTTGTGCTTCTGTACATGCAGAATTGCATATGTATACCTATCTCTATGCGGACTCTCATCTTAAGGAGTCTTTCTGGTCATCTAGACTGTTTCATTTCAACTGTGCAAGACATAGCAATTGACAGAATGAATGACTTTTTCTTTGGCCTCACAAGCCCTGCAGAACACAATGCAAGCAAATGAAGGAGACTTGAACTCCATATCAATGAAGAAACCATTTTTCAGTCAGTTGAGAGGTCTAATTATTTTAAACAGCATTTGCAGAGCTATCTCCTTGGATTAGTCTACACATAATTCTGCTATATGGAATGTTCGTTTATGTATTGCATGCGACAAACTACACAGGCCAGAAAGGAGGTGGGGGACTCTGCTATAAGGAGTTTTTAGTGGAAGTAGTATTTTGATTGTAATTGTTTTAAAACCTAGGCTAACAATGTTGTGATATATTTGAATATATTTCATTTTTCTGGGTATTTCTGAGACTGGTAATGTGCTATATACAGCAATCAAAAAGACTTTGCAGCCTTAGTAGCTCCACATTGATTGATTAAAAATGCAGGAAATGTGCAAATCTAATGTATTTCCCCTATTTTGTTGGTTTCCTGTTTGCATTTCTTTCCTTTTGGGCGGGGAAAACAGGCGTGTCCATTTCATATTGCTGTGGTCCATTTCACTGGTGTTTAAGCTGTGTAGGAGAATGTATAAATCCAAACAAGACACCTTTCTCTGGATTGATAAATACTCAGGAGATTGATTGACTGTTTGTTTGGACGTTAATTTCCTAAAACCTCTTATACTAACCACCACCAGGCAGATTTGAACCTGGAACCTCTGAAATGGGTATAGGAGCCTCTACCCTCTGAGCTAAAAGCCACCTGGCTCCCACCAGCGGTGGAGAAGCCTCTTGGTCTTAACTATTGCTGTGGTCTAGGTGCTACTGCATTAGTGATTCACATTAGGTGTGTGGGTTACATAATCAAAACCAAAGCTGAGAACTACCCCTGACATTGTCCCTCTTGCCTCAGGGCTGGGCTCTCACAAAGTTGGCTGTTTTAAGGGTTTTGCCACTGAGCCACATTAGGGAAATTTTCATTTTCTCCTATTATTCAGGCCAGATGTAATGAAATCTAAAACTGTTTAATGTAGAAGGTTAATCTGCCTTGAATTATTATTTGAATGCAGAGTGTTTCTGGGTTTTCCATTTCAGCAAAATTAAACTGCTCCAAGAACCGAAAATAAGCGGGGAGTGCATTTACAAAGCGTGGCACAAATTGGCCTGAAATGCCTCCAAAACGTGCTTTTATTGGGATGCACGGCTAATTTATCACCACACCTCGCTTATATAAAAGTATTAAGAGAAGGCAGAGCCTGCGTGAAGCGTTTCCGGGAGGTATCATTCGCTCCTATTTAAAAAGGCGGCGAGTCAAGACAAGCCCCTTAGGTATGTTGTCGGGATGGGGGTAGGGGTGCAGAAACTGTATGTGCCATTTCTCTCCGTCGCCCTGCGCTCTCCTGTCAGTTACATCAACATGTGGCGCCCAACGTGGAGTTAATTCTCCCGGCAGCATTACAGCAAAAGTCCCAGCGATCCGACAGTCGCACAGCGCTGGGAGGGAAATCGTTTTACAAAGAGTTAATCCTCTGCTGCCTGAAACCCCACAGGACCCAGGGCTGCGTCCCTCCTAAGCCAAGGCAGTTTATTTCAGTCCGGCCATATGAGCATTTCACCTGCTGCCCCTCTGGGGACGAAGCATTAATTAGAACGCAGTGAACAAGCGCACGCCCTGCTCGGAGACAGGCTGCTGACATTGTAGGGACCGGATCAGGGAGATCTTAGGGTCTGCTTCTTGCTCTCTGAGCCCCCTTCCGTGCCTCCAGCACAGACCCTGGCAGAGCAAATTGGCTCATTTCGACAGACTCCCCGCCCCCGCCAAGGGAACGTGTCAGCCCAGCCCTCCCGCTCTACCCAAATATTCGAGACTGAGCTTGAGGGGTGTTCGCGCGTGGGCTTTTCAACTAACCGCTGCTCTTTACTGGGACCAGTGCAACGGCGGCAAAACCGAGAGTCTCTTCTTCTCCACAGATCGGTGCCTCGTCTGTTGCTGTCCCTTCAGAACCTGAGCCCACCTACATAACCTGGGCAGCGGGGCTAGCAACACCCCCCCCCCCCTCCCTTTGGGAA